TGGGGGTGTCAATTTTGCCCCGCGACACTTTCCCCATTTGGTTGGCAATGCTTCGGAGGAAGCGCATTTATTTGACGCTGCCAACCCATGCAGGCCCGTGATCAATCAGATTGAACTGCACCCGCTCTGTGTGCAGCAAGAAGTTTGCGACTTCTGCCGGGAACGTGATATCATTCTCCAGCAATATTCTCCATTGGCGCAGGGACATGCAAAACTTGTTGAGCATCCCGTCCTGTGTGCGATCGTAAAGGACCTGTTCCCTGGTTACACAGTGCAAGATGTGTTGCTCATGTGGGGCCTCAGTCAGGGCTTCTGTGTTGTGGTGCGCAGTCGTTCCAAGGAACATTTAGCGCAAAATTGGGCTGCCGCAAAGGCCTTTTTTGATGAAGGGCTGCTCAGTGAGTCACAAAAGGAGCAACTGAAAAACCTGCGAGAGTCGATGCGGGTTGTGGAGGATCATCATTTCTGTTGGCACAGTGAACATATCGACTAACAAGCCAGGATGGAGCGGGAGGCCGGAGAGAAAAAAAAAAGGGAGGGAGGAAAGAGGGGAAAAAAGAGACAAGACGGGTATTGACAAAGTGACTGGCCTCCAACTGCGGCGGCGCACAATAAGCACCCCTCTTTTGGATGTCTTTTTTTTTTTTTCCTTTGCTTCTCATTCATTGCTGTTGTCGCTCGGGCGTTGTGTGGCGAATAGGGTCAAACGGACACAAACATTACACACAACACGGAGGGTTTGTTCATGTGCCGTCGCATGGTTGGGCGTGGTGTCGTCAAGCCCTTTTTGGTTTCCCATGTCTCCCAGCATTGCCCGCTCCATGCAGATGCGGGGAGGAAAGGCATGCAGGACCGCCTTGCAGCTCTCGTGTTAGAGTGCGATCGGAATTCCTTACGCCCTTTCAGTGGTTCCATTTGTGCCGCGGCTCTCACCGCTACCGGGGTAGGGTTGTGCGCTCTCACTTTTGTCTACAACGTGGGCAGGCCTGTGGTGAATGCCTATGCGGAGGCGCGTGCAATGGGTTGCCTCGGGGAAGTGGAGGGAGAGGAGCAGGGGGAAAAATGAAACCGAAGGAAAAAAAATGGGGTGGCCGTGGCCTAAAAGATGAATTTGAAGAAAATGAAAGGGAAGGCACTAAATCCCTTTGACCAAAAGGGGAATTTGTCGGTATAACAGCATATTCTTCTCACATGTGTATAATTATTTTCCGACCTTTCTTTCTTTCTATTCCCCTCTGTTTTTGGATGCCACGGTGCTGAGCCTTACTGGCATCGTTTATGTAAAGGAATCCTAAGATCTCTTTTACGTCTAATGGAAAATAACAAACTTTTGAATTCCCTGCCTTTGCGTGCTGGGGGAGTTCGGGGACCGTCAAGATCTCTGTCTTCGAATCATTCACGTTTGCCTGCATCTTCGCCGAGACGAACCACGAAAACAGTAACCTCCGCGGCGCCGGGTAACACCAGCCCGGATCCCGAAAGTATCCAACATGTAAACGAACTTGCAATTTTTCAAGCATATAAAAAAAACTGGTGTGAAGTGATTCTTGGCTCCACTAGCGGACTCCTTTTTCTCATGGTTCTTGCTGTCCTGTATGCAGTGTATACCTTGTGTCTTCCGTACGGGGACAGTATTAGTTTTGGTATCTTGCTCTCTGTCGTTTTGCATCCGAAGAGTACGGTGGAATACTTTGGTTCCCGCTATGAAATGCGATGTTGCGCGGGAAGAATGCGGAAATTACAACAGGCATGGGCGTCGCGATCCAGGCTTTCTGGTGTAATTGGCTCTTTGCTTTCGTTGGGTTACTTCTTTTCGTGTGCGTCAATGCAGGGTGTGATGTTTTTGGGTCTTGACAAACTCTCCGTGAGTGCTCGATGGGGAAGGAGGGGCGGGGACCGTACCGGGAAGGCGAGGAATGAGGCTGGCGAGAAGAGGGAATTTCTCACGTCCACTCCCACGGGGCGAGTCATTCTGCGCTTGCTTGTGGTCACCATTTTCACCGTCGTTGCCCACTCGACGATTGGAATTTTCTTTTTCTTTGAGTTGCACGCTGTGCTGATGGCTGTGTTTGCTGTCACAGTTGTGATTGTGCCGGAGGAACGCTTTACCTCCGTGATGTGGCGCCTTTGGTGTTTTGCGCTTGCACTCTTTTTTGTAGTAGCGCTCTCTTACAATATGGCGGTGGATGTCCTCTCCATCAGTGACGCGGTGAAGCGAACGACGTCGGCTGTAGTCAACGCACGCAAAGAGTGGTCCCATCAAAAGACGTACTTCTCCAATTTGAACAACATTTCGGTGCATGATACAGATGTGAACGCGACTTCTTTTATTTTTTCCTCCAGCGGCATTGAAGAGATGATTATGACGAAGCTCCAAGAAACTGTGTTGAAGGAGATTGACGATACTCTTAGGCACACAAATGCGACGGAATTGGCTGTTGCCGTGCGTCAGGTCATTGGCCCCATGCTGACGACATTTCCATCCGAGATAAGTATTGGCTTTTTGAAAAATAAAAGCAAGGAACTCTACGCGTCACTCTTCCGACGCGGGGATCCTTTACTCAGGGTGGATTGGCTTAGCGTACTGCAGAATTTATTGCGGCGTTGGCGGCCTTTCTTTGCTTTTTTAACGCAATTGCTGTTTGGATTGGGATCCAATATGATGGGGTTATTTGACTCGGTGTACGCGACCATGTTATTTGTATGTGTTCTGCGATACTTTTTGCAGCTGGAGCACACAATTCTTTATTATGGAGTTGCTAAAATGCTCCGGGTCATTCACCCACAGGGCGGTGAAAAACACGCACGGATGATAGAGCGTGAGATCACGGTGTCATTTCGGACACTTCTGCAATCCTTTTGGCATCTTTCATGGTTTCACTTCTGCATCACATTTTGCCTTTTTAATGCGTGGTCCTTCCCCACACCTTTTTTCTGCGGGATGATATCCTCCCTTACGGCTGTGTTCCCGCTTACACCCAAGTGGTTCTCACCCGTTGCATTTGCATTGGGGTCTGTTTTCTTCAACGCCGTGGCAAGTGACGGGTTCCTTGGCGCTGCCGTGGATCAGCGTGTGTGGAGTTGCTTTCTTGCTTTTCTGGCGTCGTATGCGGACGAGTGGTTGCTTTGTGTTTCGCGTGGGTTGCGAGGAAATCCTTTGAAGGACTTTACTGGCGTGAAACGAGAGCAGCTGCCAACATTTGTTGTCGGCACGGCCCTTGTGCTCGGTTATGTAACTTATGGAGTGCGCGGGATTTTGCTTGGGCCCATGACTGTCATTGTCGCAAAGGTGTTGTTTGACAATTGGGACATCGTCTCGCACCCCGAATCGCTGCATAGCCGGTTTTTGTTTGCAGAAGAAACGGAGTCCGCATGATACTCAAGAGAGGGTGAGGGAAGGAAAGAAACTGAAGGTAAATATCTTTTGTTTTTTGTTTTTTTTTCTTCTTGTGTGTGTGGTCCATTCCTCGATTTAGTTGCTTGCTTCTTCTGGACGTGGTTGCTCCCGCCCTATACATGTCATAAATGAGAGAGTATGTGTCAGTTGGTTATAAGCGAGAATACCCTGTACAGTGAACCACGAGAAGCGAGGGCACGGATAAGAAATGCATGGATCATGTGGCGAAGTCAGGATGTCGTGTTGCCTACACAGAGAATTAAATTCTCGGGGAGCCCATGCACGGGTACGTTACATTCCGCTTGTGTGCTTGCCTGCAACACATCTTCCACGTAGGTGTCTATGGCCAGTATACCGCATGTATTTACAATTAGGGGGAGGGAGAGTGAGTCGTTTGTGTTTCCTGTGCCGCTTTAGAAGAAAGAAACTTTTGTGTAGACATGAGTTTTTTTTTTTTTGTTCTGTTTGCTTTTTCTTGTGTGTTTGTGTGTGTGAGCGCTTGTCTGCTCTTTTTTTTTTTCTTCTTCTTCTTTGATGGCGCATTTTGGAAAAGAACACACACACACACATACAAGAAAAAGCAAACATAATGTGCCGTGGGCGCCTGGTGCTTGCTGACGTCGACATAAGGAGGGTGCTCGATGCCTACCGCAGTGGCCATTCCTACAGGGACGTCCATTCCTCAGTGGGAGGAATGATGATGGGCGTCAGGCCTACTTTGCTTGTAAGCGCATGTCTGCTTGGGCAGCGTGTGACGTATCGCGGAGGAAGTTGCGCACCTCCAGTGCATCGCCGTACGCCTGTCGGGTTTATTGTGGACTGTCTGTGGCGTGAGCACCACCTTGTCGACTGTCTTCCTATCTGCCCGGAGATGGACCTTCTCGCCATGCCGTCGCCGCGGCCACCACTGCGACTGGTGAAGGATTCACGTAACGGGCGTCGTAGACTTGTGACTTCACCGCCAACCGTGTCGGAATATGTAATTCCCTCGCCTGAAATGTATCGTGAGGAAGGGAATGGTGTGAAGGAACGTCTTTCGCAACGCCATCCATGCCTTGCGAAGGAGTTGCTGGTGCGTCGCCTTGCCGGAATGGATGGATGTGTCTTCAAGTCTCGGTCGCCCAGCTGCGGTGTGCTGGACGCGCGCATGTACGCTGCGGAGAGTGGCGGAAGTTACGAGGGGACGGATGGTTTCTTCGTGGAGGAGTGGGTGCGGCCGGCTGCTGAAGCGACGACGATGCCGCTGCCTTTGACAACGGAGCGTCATTTGTGCTTTGGTGACGTTGCGTCCTCGTCTCAAAGGATACGGTTGGGGGGCAATTACGCAGTCTTGTCTTTTCTCGCGGATGTTTGGGCCCGCTTTGACGCTCGAATTGATGCAGCGACATTTTCTTCTCTCTGAACAGAAGTCGTGTTGTTTATTTTGTTGTTTGCTTGCTTGCAGTTTTTATGCGCTTGGTTGTGTGGGGGAAGTGTGCTAGAAATGGGGGGAAGATGAAATGAATGGGCGGGCCACTGTCTCTCCTGTCGCGGTATTGATATCGGTCCGTCCATGCGTATGTGTCTTCCCAACGCATGCATGACTCTTTGCCTTCTTTTCCTTCTCTGTGTGTTGCCCATGGCAGTTGTCTTGTGAGAGAAGTGTCCCTCTTCGTCTGGCAGAACAGAAAAGGAAGGAGAAGGATTATAATTTTATAGTTTCTCTGACCCAGGAAGGGGGTGAATGGCGTACAATACCGCCGCATGGAATGAGGAATTCGGGGTGTTGAAGCAAATGCAGGAGGATCGCATGAACTTTGCCAACAGCATGACATGTCATGAACGCTGCGTTTCACACTACTGGTTCAATGACTTCTACGCGGGGGAATATAAGTGCATGCGTAACTGTCTAGAGAAGCTGAATCAGGTGGGCATCATCACAAATGTTAACTTCAATAAGTACGAACAGGAGAAAACAGCACGGAAGCGTAAGTAATGCCGGGGAGCCATGAAGCGCGAAGTGGTGGGGTGAAGGAGCTTCGTTTTCTACACGGCATCATTTGGCGGTGTTGGAAACGATACATATACATTTATTTATTTATTTACTGTGTATATGTGCTTGATGAGTCTTTCTGTACTTCTTCCCCTATAAAGCCTATTTTAATCTGAATTGGGGAGGAAGTGTATGGAGAAGCCTTGCATCACATCGGCTCATGTGAGGTTACATGATCATTAAGTGGCTGGCTGGGAGGAAGCTGCCTCTGCCTGTGTACGTGTAAGCGTGTATCCATGCACACTTTATTCACCATGCCTGCGGATGACGTTTGGTATGCCCATTTGTGTTTTTTTTTTTTTTTTTGTTACTCTCTCTCTCTGTCTCTCTCTCTCTGTCTCTCTCTCTCTCTTGGTTTTCGGGCGCGGAATTTCTCCCCACGGAGAAAGCAGGAGGAGGGTGCGTAAGTGAGAAACGGGGGTGGAGGTTTACTGGGGAACTCCGCTGTGGCGAACACATCTGCACAAGGGGGCCAGAAGAAGAAGAAGAAAAGAAATTTGACCGGTGGAACGATGGTGCTGGCAGAACTCGGGCAGAAGATCGGGGGGGCGATCTCCAAAATGTCGTCGAAGCCCCTTTTGGGCGAGGACGATGTGAAGGAGTTTTTAAATGAGGTCGCGAGGGCGTTGCTTCAGGCCGACGTGCACGTCACAACAGTGAAGGAGTTGCAGCAGACGATACGCGCCGAGGTCGCCATCACGTCGGAGGCTGTGGGCTTAAATAAGCGGAAGATGTTGCAGACCGCCGTGTTCAGCGGGCTCAAGAAGATCCTCGACCCGGGCGTGAAGCCATTCATACCGGCAAAAGGGAAAACCAACATTGTCATGTTTGTCGGTCTTCAAGGATCTGGCAAGACGACATCGTGCACAAAATATGCGGCGTACTTTCAGCGCAAGGGCCTCAAGACGGCGTTGGTGTGCGCCGACACATTCCGTGCCGGTGCCTACGACCAGCTGCGTCAGAATGCCACCAAGGCAAAGATTCGCTTCTACGGCTCATTGACAGAGGCGGACCCGGTTATCATCGCCAAGGAGGGCGTGGCGGAGCTGGAAAAGGAAAAGTATGACCTTATCATCATTGACACAAGCGGCCGGCACAAACAGGAGTCCGCCCTCTTTGAGGAGATGAAACAGGTGCAGGAAGCGGTGAAGCCCAATGATATTGTGTTTGTGATGAGCGCAACAGACGGTCAGGGTATTCGCGAACAGGCGCGGCAGTTCAAGGAGAAGGTGCCTGTAGGATCCGTGATTATCACAAAACTTGACGGGCATGCGAAAGGTGGGGGTGCGCTGGCAGCAGTTGCCATGACAAAGAGCCCCATCGTTTTTATTGGACTGGCGAACACTTTGAAGATTTTGAGTTATTTCAGCCTGAGAGCTTTGTGAGCCGCATGCTGGGAATGGGTGATATGCGGGCATTGATGGATACAATGAAGGATGCTAACATTGACACCGATAGTGAGCTCTACAGGCGGTTTCAGGATGGCCAGTTTACGATGCGGGACATGTATGAGCATCTGCAGAATGTGCTCAAGATGGGATCCGTGAGTAAGATCATGAACATGATTCCTGGCATGTCGGCTCTCAGTGGGGCCGCGGGCGAACTTGGCGATGTGACATTGAAGGCCTTTATTCACATCATGGACAGCATGACCGCCGCAGAACTGGACGATGCACGTGTAAAGAAGACAATGACCCCCTCCCGCATTCTCCGCGTTGCACGCGGCAGCGGTCATTCTATCCACGAGGTGCACAATCTCATCACGAGCTACACAAAGTTTGAGGAAGTGGTGAAGAAGATGGGAAAAATGAACTTTAAGGCCATGTCGCAGGACCCTGGTAGCATGTTGTCCGGACGTATGGGGCAGCAACAGATGACACAGTTGGCAAAAGCACTTAATCCGACGATGCTACGGCAAATGGGTGGACTTGGTGGGCTGCAGGGCATGATGAAGCAGCTGCAAAACCTGAAGTAGGCCCCAAACTCCGGTAGTGTGAGGGAGAAAAAAAAAAGGGGAGCCGGCAAAACACACATGTTTATATGTAGTGTACATATGCAAGATATGTGAAGAACGTTGACGGAACATTTTCTCTCATTTGCTGGATGTTACTTTTCCTTCCTTTTGTCTGCCTGTGTGTGTTCGTGTGTGTGTGTTTTTCCTGCACATTTTTTTTGGCCTCTAAAATATGTTGCGCGGCGAAAGGGTCTGCAAGCGCACACGTACACACGTAAAGTTTAAAAAAAAAAAAAAAAAAAAAGAGAGTGCTATTGATTAAAAGTGAAACAGAACGAGGAACCGATTATCCACTTGCACATTGAGCCACAATGCGACATCTTAGATTCTCTTTTTTTTTTTTTTTTTTTTTGCTTTTTGTTGTTTTTTTCTGCTTAGTGCTATCAGCGATGAAATCTGCACCCCCGTGCTTCAGCGGTGTTGTCTTTAAATTTCCATTTGCCCCCCTCCCTTTTTTTTTCCTCCTCTCTCCTCCCAACACCCACAAACACACACCAGGCAGTATCAATTAGATCACTAGAGGTAGACGATTTCTCAAATCCACACACTTTGTTTCCTCGCTCTAGGCGTGTGCTCGGTTGCAATGACACTGGCGAAGTCCCATAAGGCTAGCGAGAAGAATTCCGCAGGAGCGCGTACGTTATTTGGGAATGTCACAAACAAGTCGTGCATAAAAACAGCCAACACTTCACAAGATACCCCTCGTGGCTCTCATTTCTGCTCGAAAACAAATTGTGTGACGGCGGCAGCGGCGCCATCGATGGCTGCGCCCCCGCGAAAAAACGGCTCGGTTTCGTCACTGGAAGAAAGTTCGACGAATGTCGACCGCCACACCCCACGAGAATTACGCGGCGGTGGTGCTGGCGCAGAGGAGAGACACGTCGGATGCGCCGATCCCGTGACTCTACTGGAGGAGCAGGAGGAGGTCTCGCCACGAAAGAAGATGCAACGCCCACGGAGGTTTCTTGAGAAATATTTTTTTCTGAAGAATCTCAACGCCCTGCCCCTAACGCCGGAAAAGGAGAAAAACGGTGCGACGTCGGCTCCGTTTCGCCGTGTTTCGGTGGAAGAACCCGCCACCGGCGTTTCGGGTTTGGGGGCGCCACCGCCACCGCCACCGCCGCCTCCATCCGACAAGAATGGGGACCATTCAACAGCAAGCATTGCACGCTCACGCCGCTTTGATGCCCCGAGGCCCAGTGTCCTTTTTTATGTGGACATTTTGCCTAACAAACAACCTCAAGAGAGAGATGGAAGTGACAATGGCAAAATGTCGCCTGCAAAAGTGACTGTCTCCCGTCGCAGCTCCATTAATATGCAAAAACACGAAGAGGTGCCACCAACTCTTGTGATTCGGTGGCTGAGCCAGGAAGCGGATCCTCCTCTCCCGGAAAGGGAGGTGGATGATGGAAACGTTGCGGAGGAGCTTACGTCGCCTAATAACCCAGCAAAGGATGTGAAAAGCGTTTCACGTAGTCGTTCTGCACTTGGAGAAACATCTTCGTACACGGATGGTATTGATCTCAGTGTCATTTCGGCAATTCATGAAGAAGAGGTATTGATTGACTTTGACGGGTCCATGACCCCCACACGTCTTCCCTTTTCAACTTTAGATCAGGTAAAAGATATTCTTTTAAAAGAGAGCCGTATTCAAGAGGAAGGGACGTGCGCTGTACTGTCCACACCGAAAGACGTGGCTGAAGGGTTCACGCAGCAACCTACCCACCTGCCAGAAACAGCTGGGGGTATTAATGAAGATAACATCAATCACTGGATAATGTCTTTTGCAGGAAGTCCATGCAGTAACGCGGATACCTTGTGGCATGCCATGGATGAATTTCTTTCCTTGTATTTTATGAACCAGTTCAAGGCGCACGAGGCAGAGGTATTGGAGGCAGCCTTTGTGGTGGGGTATACCCAGATGGTTGCGCTCCCAATGACGAGGATGTTGGAATCTTCTGATCGGCGTATCTTATGCATGAAACGAGACATTTATATTCGACGTATGATTGAGCTTTTCATGTTGACACTGCCAGTGAGACGCGGGAAAAAGCTCTTTGGACGCATCCGCTCTGCGTCTTGCCAACAGACGAGGCAAAGTCTGTTAGCACCTCGGAGCGTCTCTCAGTCAACTCATCAACTGGGCTGCAGGTTTTCCGCTCGTGGCGTGAGGAGTTTGCCGGGCGTCATGCAACGCGACGCATGCGTCAGTGGAAGGGGCGGAAAAGCTTACAGTGAGGCTGCAGAAGCCAACTTCAAGGCGTTTTCACAAGCACCGTCAAGGCCCATTAGACTTCGGGCCTACAGGGTTGTCCCACCCGTGCCAAGAAAGATCACACCGAAACGTTCACCAAGAGACGATGAATTGATGGACATCATGAAACTCGACTTGTCTTGAGTTGTTGTTGTTGTTGCTTTTTTTCTTTTTCTTTTTTCTTCTTATTTGCAGGCGAGTCCGGAAGGTTGGTGGGCTCCGCCGCATTCTCACAGCGAATGCACGTTACATCTGACCGGTCCGCCATCACATGTCCCATATCTATAGAGGCACACATGTGCATGGCTAAGGGCTAGGCAGCGGCAGCAATAAGACTGGACCTACAATACGATGAAGAAAAGAGAGATTCACGAAGAGAAAAGAAAATGAATGGTCTTTTTGATAGTTGAAGTGTCACATCCGTCACATGTCGAGTTAATTGTTTGGCCTTGTTTTTCCCTTTTTTTTCTTTTTTTTTCTCGGCTTGCGATAAGATTTATGCACGCAAGCCACAACTTCCAATCACACATGGTAGAAAATGGAGAAGAGTCTCACATGTATTGTTATTATTTTTTTTCATTATTATTATGTTCTGCTACAATTTTTTTTTTTTTTTCTTCTTCTTCCAGATGGAGTTTTGTTACTTCCTTTTTTTTTTTTTTTTTTTTTTTTTTTTTTTTTTTTTTTGGGAAGGAGGGAGAGGGGAGGAAAGCAGTCATCGTGGGTGGAATATCAACTGCCGCGATCTCTGGAGAAAAGAAAAGAATTTCTTTTTAAAGATTTATTTGTTGTTGTTTTTCTGTGGTATTTCCTTGTCCCCTTCTCTCTCTCTCTATTTGTGTGTGTGTGTATATAAACATATTTGCAGATGTTGTCTCGACGTGTGTACGACTGCCCTCCCCCTTTTTTTTTTTTTTTTTCTTTTTTTTTTTTTCTTCCCTCTTCTGCGAAGAAAAGGGGGCGGGGCGGGGGGCGGATATTGAAGGAATTGGGAAGGATGTCACGCTTCGACCGCGTTGTCATTTTTTTGGACATTGATGGCGTCCTGCTCCCGGTGCCTCGATTCACCTTTGGCGGCGGCGAACTCTCTGAGCAAAGTGTCCTTATTCTTCAGCAGATTGTCAAGGGCTGCGGTGGGAGGGAAAAGGTGTCTATTATCCTCTCGTCCACGTGGCGCAATTTCCCCGATCAGGTGCGGCGGTTGAATCAATTTATTGAGAAGACAACAGGGACGGAGGTGCCGGCTGTCGCTGGCGGTACTCCAAACGGAACGCCCAAGACGACGGTGGTCACGTACTTCCCGGATGACCCATCGGAGCAGAGACTCGTGCGGGATCGCGTGGATGAAGTGAAGCGATGGATACACACGCACATGCAGGACTACCCGGAGGCGATTGGTGGCCGGTGGTTCGCGATTGACGACATGCAGCTGGACGTTGATGAGCGCATGCGTGGTCATTTCTTGAAGACAGAGACGGAGACGGGCCTAACGGAGGGGGACGTGGCGCGGGCCCTTGACGTCATTGCGTCCCTCCCAACGGCAGATGTGGCGGCGAAAAACGCGGTGGCGGCGATGGTTGACCCCGTGTTGAAGGACGAGGAGATTGACATTTTGAAGAGCCGATGCCGGGAGTTGTCCGCGACGGTGAGTCAACTGCAAGATTCCCTGCGGCAGTCGCAGGATGAGGTGCATGCCCTGCAGAAGCAGCGTCACGAATGGGAACGTGAGCGCAAAGAATTGACGCGTCGCCTTGAGGACGTTAGTTACCGTCTGGCAGTGCACGACTTTGCCAAAAAGAATGATGTACTGCGGGCAGCAGTTGCGGCCCTCGAGACCAAAACAGGGAAGGAACGGCAGGAATTAGAAAAGCGCATTAAAGTCCTCGTGGAGCTCCTGCGGCATAAAAAGATGCTTGAGAAGGCTGCGAGAAAACAACGTAAAAAGTTGAATGACGTAAATGAGGGGGAGGGATCAAAATAAGTACGACCCGCCACTCCCAGTCCTTTCCCTTTCTTATACGCCTTCCTTTTTTTTTCTTTGCCAGAGGACATGCGCACAGCGAAACAGGCACCAACGCCAAAAAAAAAAAAAAAACGTGAGGATGGGAAAGAAGAAAGGAGGCATGTATATCAATATATATATATACCTATATACGGGTGCCGAAGCCCATCAGGAGTATTCTTTTTTTGTTGTTGTTTTCGTTAATGGATGTGTGGGTAAGAGGAGAGAATGAGGGAGGGAGGGGGGAGTGTGTGTGGAAATAAATGGCATTTGGAACTTCTGGTGTTGTGTATACATCATATCTGCTTCTTTGCTGTTTTGTTGTTTTGTTTTTTCCCATTGGGGGGCGGTTAAATGTGGGGTTTATCACACACAAACACCAGGACGATCGAGACACGCGTTCTCTTTCACAGTGGGGCGGGTGGGTGTGCATATTGTGTTAAGCATTTGCTGGTGGCAAGGAGGGGTGTAATCCAAGGGAAGAAACGGCCTAATCATCAACACTTTAAGCAACAACAACAATAACAATTAAAAATTAAAAAGAGAGTGAGTGAGTGAGTGAGTGAGCAGTGTGTGTTGAGAAAGGAAGCGAAAAAAATAAAACTAAAAAAAAAAGGAGGGGGAGGGGGAGGGGGGGGACAATGCTTCAAAGGGCATGTGTGAGACTGGACGGTTTAACGGCCGATACAACGGCACTGGAGGTGGTAGAGTTCATGCAGTGTTGTGGCCCGGCGGTAAACGTCTACGTGCATGCAGACCCGGATAGTGTAACGGGTTACTATGCGCTGATTGAGTTTAAATATGAAAAAAGTGTTGAAGTGGCAGAGTTACTTTCTGGGACGTCTTTCCGTGGGCATGAGGTAAGTATTACGCCGCTTGATCGAGGGGCTCATCGGGCGAATACAGCATTCCTGCAGGCATTGAGACCCAAAAGAGAATCAAACACCATTCACGGGAACAGATGCGGAAAATATGGTGTATTGCGGTAGGCTATGAATTCTGCAGAGAAGATTTGGAAAAAAAAAAAAAGGGGGGGGGGGAGGAAAGGGGACATCATGTGGTATCCGAGTGCCGTCATTCTTTCTGGTGGGGTTATTGCCGACAAGTCATTAGCGGGGATTAATTACCATAGCCAATTCCACCGCGTAAGCCAAACATTATATGGCAGGCGGTTAGAGTAGGAAAGTAAGAAGAGAGCAATGTGAGTGTACATCCTCCCAGCCGCAGCGAGTGGGGAGGAGTGGAGGAACAGGAGTAATGATTTGATTTTATTTTATTTTATTTTTCCTCTTTTCCTTTATAAAGAACTGTTTATTGGGTATAATTTATATTTATATTTATATTTATGTGGAATTACGGATATACGATTTGCTTTTGCTTTAATTGGGAGTGGACTCATCTGTTTTAGTGTGATTTACTCTCATTGAGGCGATTTTTTGCGTTTTTTTTTTTTTTTTTTTTTTTTTTTTTTTTTTTCTTCTTCCTTTGAGCGTAGCTCCTTCCTGGTTTGATTATTCGCGTCTTTTTGTTGTTGTTGTTGTTTACGGTTTGCAACGCCGTTTCGACTTTCATTTTTGTTGTGTTTCTATATATATACATATCGATCTTCTTCCTCGTGTTCATTGCCGGAGGGGGGAGAGAGAAAGGGAGGGGGAAGCCAAGGGCCAGCAATATTTCCTTCATGAAATTGTTGTTTTTTTGTTTTTGTTTTTGGTGGGGGGGGGGGGGCAGGACTGAA